GACAGCATGAGGGCACCTCCCCTTTGGAATGCATCTCCCTTCCCTACCCTGGTCTGAAATAGCCTAAGCCTGCTTGCCTTCCAGGCACGCTGCAAAGCTCATCTATTTGAGTGGGCTGTCAGGAAGGGCTGAAGCCCTTGGGGGTGGGTTTTCTGTTTGGGGAGAAGGTGGGCTGGGAGGTTTAATTCATACGGGGCCTGCTGAGTGTTGATTACGATGCAATGTGTTGGGTGGTATGAGGCAGTGCTTTGTAACTCCTCATTATTGTGTGTTTAAATTGATGTCAGTGGAGCTTAGAGCTCTGCATGGGTGTTCTTTTGTGTGGAGCTTTTAAGTCAAAATGAAAATAAATATATGGTTTGTACTAGCAGTGCTGTCTGGTTATTACTAATAAAAATGTACTTTTTGAGTCCACCTTTAGAGTCTGTGAAGTATAAATATGTGAAACCAGGGACTGAGCTTTCCAGGGCACGTAGAAATCTTTCCCAGGTGGGAAGCAACCATCCACTTCTGTAGAATATAAATACACTTTCATTAAAAATAAATTCCATTTATAACCTTCGTGGGGGCAAAAGAAAGCTGTGAAGCATGAACCAAGTATAACCAATGCAGTAATGTCTTCCTAAGTCTGCAAAGAAACCGCTCTGGTGTCACTGCCTCTACTGGCAGAAGGGAGCATGGCTGCTGTTGTTCCTAGGAATAGGGAGCCCCAGGAGGAGTGGGGGACACAACCACTCCAGTGGAGTGTTTTGTGTGTTTGTAGTGCTGACATCACCTGCCATCTGCACACAGGGCTCTGTGGAGGCTTGGGCTGGGGAGGAACAGCATAAATTGAGTTATTGGGGCCAGGTGATGCCCAGTAACGACAACTTGTCCTGGCTTGAACTGATTTATGAGGCGGGAGGGGGGCAGCTTTGATTTACCACCAGTATACGGAGGGCAGCAGAGTTCATCCAGCGAAAAACTGGGACCATAGGTGAATGCTTAGACAGGCTGGCAACAGGGTGGATTGATTGATATCACTGATTTTAATCATGATTTAAATTATCAGTTGTAAATGTGTTTTGCATTTGTACTTTTTAGTTATTTTCCTAAAGAAAGGTTGATTCTTATTCGTCAGGAACCACTGACACATGTTGAGTTGCAACTAAATATAGTCTTTACACTAAATATGGTGCTTCTTCTTCGAGTGATTGTTCACGTCCATTCCAAGCAGGTGTGTGCACGCCAGCCAGAAGATTTTTCCCCTAACTCTACACATCAATGTCAAAGAGCTGAGAGCGGTGCGTCTGGCATGCTACGCTTTCAAAACCCACATAGTGGGCAGGTGTGTCTCAGTCCTCACAGACAACACCTCGGCACGTTCTATGTCAACAAACAGGGGGGTGCACGCTCCTCTCCCCTGTGCCGGGAAGCCCTCATGCTGTGGGCCCCCTGCGTAGAACACTCAATCCACCTACAGGCGTCAGACCTCCCAGGGGTTCAGAACGCACTGGTGGACAGCCTCAGCCGGACCTTCCATGGCCACAAATGGTCCTTTCAACCAGATGTGGTGAACTCAATCTTCCGATTCTGGGGTTCTCCCCAGATAGACCTGTTAGCCAATTGTGGCAACAGGAAGTGTCAGGCATTCTGCTCCCTTAGGAGTCACAGCCTGGGGTCCATCGGGGATGCCTTCCTTCTCTTTTGGGCGGACCACCTGCTCTGTGCTTTTCCACGTATCCCGCTGGTCCACATGGTGCTCCTCAAGATCCACAGGGACCGGGCTCGAGCTATACTGATAGCGCCGGCATGGCTGCGCCAACACTGGTTCACCTCGCTCCTGGAAACTTCGGTGGCGGCTCCACTCACCTTACCGCTAGTCCAGGACCTGATCACACAGGACCATGGCAGACTCCGGCACCCAAATCTGGAGTCTCTTCACCTCACAGCCTGGATGCCCCATGGCTAAGCACCACGGAGCTGTCATGTTTGGACCAGGTCAAGCAAGTCCTCCTGGGTAGTAGAAAGCCTTCCACCAGGGCAATGTACCTTGCCAAGTGGAAACGTTTCTCCATCTGGGCCGAGCAACACTAACAGTTGCCTCTCCTTGCCCCCATACAGTTCATACTGGACTACCTCCTGCACCTAAAACATCAAGATCTGTCCCTGTCATCAGTAAGGGTCCATTTAGCCGCCATCTCCGCC